AATTTGTGCAATCAATATTTGTCCCCTTATGGCCCTACAACAAAGTTGGGTGATCCTCATTGTCCTTCGCTTTAGCTTTCTCTGGTGGGTCTCTACTAAAAGCCCTCATAGATTGGAGGAAGGCCTTTGAAGTTTGCTTATTCATTATTGCATTATTAGGTGTAGCTTTTAGGTCATGTCTCATCAATCATGAAATAATTAACAATTGTTTAGACATTACCTAAATTAATTGATTCTTTTAATTATGATCAGAGACTAGAAGGAAACATTTTTCAATCATAATAATTTATCATTTAATACAAGTTTATATGATTTGTGACTTTACTAAACTACTAGAGATGTTTGTAATTCATGAGAGGCGTACACTGGAAATTAATTAAGAATGATAATAATCAATTGGATATTGTTGGATGATAGTAAGTAACATTGGAGAAGATACAAATTCTATTATATATGTTTGTTTGGGCCATAATTGACACTTGAGCTTCTATTTAGACCCGTATATTTGCCCAATAGTATAGCAACTCTTTTAAGATTAGATTATCTGAAGATCAGTTCAACTAGTTATATTAGAGCTATCTACATCTGTTTCATGTTTACATGAGCATGTAATTTGTCATAATATAAAGGGTTTATTGCGGAAAGGCACCCTACAGTATAGCACAAATGTGTATAGATCTCTTATAATTCTATTTGCCTGGATGGACTCTCTTAAGTTTAAGAGTAAAATAGAAAATTCACCTAAGTAGTCTATGTTGGATAGCAGGTTTCTAATCTGTTTTGATAACAGGTTATTAGGATTCCTAATATGTTTAAGAGTAAGTCACTGCAGGCGCTGTGCAAGTAGGGGCTATTGAAAGCAGCAAGATGACGAGTACAGTCCAAGTTGGTTTTGAGAACACCAAAATTAGTATGGTGAAGTATGATGGCAAGATCAATTTTGGTTTGTGGATGAGAGACGTTCAAGATAAGCTCAATGCTCAGAATTTGGAGGAGACCATTATGGTCCAAGAGAGACCACCAAAATATGAAGAGGCGATATGAGAAAAGATGAATAGGAACGCTTGTGAAGTGATCAGATCCTATTTGGAATAGGAATTGAAGTATGATGTGATTGGGATGACGTCTGTAATGAAGATGTGGGAAATTCTCAACAATAAGTACCTTACAAAGAGTGTTGAGAACCATTTACACTTGCTACGAAGATTGTTCAGATTTCAGTTATCCCGAGGCACCTCACTAGCGGCTTATGTGAACAACTATAATAAGTTGTTGTCAGACTTGGCGAATGTTGATGAGAAGATATCGGATGAGTACAAGATGATTATTTTATTAGGCTTCTTACCGTATGAGGAGTATGATCCCTCGTGCTCACTTTGTTGAATGAGAGGTCTTTTATTAGTTATAGTAAAGTTACTAATGCTTTAACAAACTATGATTTGAGGAGGAAGAACAAAAAGACTGCCCGCGCTCGTAATTCAGGAGAGGCCTTGTCGACGAAAGGTGGAAGCCCATATCCAAAAGATGGTAATAGAGGAAGGTCAAAGTTAAAAGGTCATCACTAGCTAGGAAAGAACCAATGTACATTCTTCAAGGAATATAAACATTGGAAGAGAGACTGTCCAAAGATCAATGAGAAGGAGAATAGCAAGAAGAAGGGCCCAAAGGCCAATGAGGTGAATATTACGAAAGGCGATGATTCCGATGATTCGAGCTTTTCTCTATAGATTTCCTCGGAGGTGAACCACTTGGATGCATCAGATTAGATGCTTGATTTTGGTGCTACTTATCATGTGACTCCTAGGCGAGATTGGTTTTCATCATTTGAGAGACTCGATGGGGGTGTTGTTGTCATTGGAAATGATCAATCCTGTGGTATTTGTGGGATAGGTACTATGAGGATTCAGATGCATGATGGAGTAGTCCATAAATTGAAGGAGGTGAGATTTGTTCCTCAGTTGAAGAAGAGCCTTATCTTAGTTGGAGCTTTGAAGGGGAAGGGATTCAAGGTGATCTTTAAGGATGCTGTAGCAAAGGTTACTAAGGGATCTTCGGTGGTGATGAAGGGAGTCCGCAGTCGAAACTTGTATTATCTAAAGAGAAGAATCGTGATTGGTCAGGTTGCTTTAGCTATTTCAGAGACAGACATTAGCAGACTTTGGCATTACAGATTGGGGCACACAGGAAAGAAGTCACTGCATGCGCTGTGCAAGCAGGGGCTATTGAAGGGTGCCAAGAGTGGTAAAGTAGAGTTCTGTGAGCACTGTGTTCTTGGTAAGAAGATGAAGATGAAGTTCGGGACATCCATTCATAGGACGAGGGACATCCTGAATTATGTGCACACAGATATTTGGGATCCCACCAAGACTGCATCACTTGTTGGTAGACATTGGTTCGTCACGTTTATTGATGACTATTCTAGGTATTGTTAGGTGTAAGGTGTACACCATGATGAAGAAGAGTGAAGTCCTAGATATATTTTTAGAGTGGAAGAAGATGTTGGAACTACAGACTGAGAGAAAGATCAAGACGTTACGATCCGACAACGATGGTGAGTACATATCAGACCCCTTTCAATAGCTATGTCGAGACGAGGGCATAGAGAGACACTTCACAGTTAGTCATACACCATAGAAGAAATCGCTATACGGTTTGAAGCAGTCTCCTCGATAATGTATAGGCGATTCGATGGTTTTTTGCTTGGTCATTCATACACTCGGAGCCAGTTTGATCATTGCATGTATTTTCACAATTTGAAAGGAGGTGCGTACATCTATTTATTGCTCTATGTTAATGACATGTTGGTTGCCTCCATTTTCAGGTCTTATATAGATGAGTTGAAGGAACAACTTTCAAAGGAGTTTGAGATGAAGGATTTGGGTGAGGCTAAGCGTATTTTGGGATGAAGATCAACAGAGACAAAGAGAAGGGTAGAATTTTTTTACACGGGTGGCTTATTTGAAGAAGGTTCTACAGCGATTTCATGTTAGCATGGATACGAAGCCAGTTAGTGCACCTTTGGGAGCCCATTTAAAGCTTTCAGCTGGCCTTTCACCAAATACAGTTGAAGATAGAGAATTGATGTCGAAAACTCTATATGCGAGCGCGGTTGGGAGCTTGATGTACACGATGGTATGTACGAGGCCAGATTTATCACAGGCGGTGAGCATGGTTTTGAGATACATGCACGATCCAGAAGTGAGTCATTGGGACGTCGTGAGATGAATTTTGAGGTACATTCGAGGTACGCTTAATGTTGGTTTGGTTTATGAGCGGGACACTAGAGGTGGGCAGTTGTGCATTGGCTATGTTAATTTGGATTATGTCGGAGATTTGGATAAGCATCGGTCTACTACGTGGTATCTGTTCACTTTGACCATTGCGCTGGTGTGTTTGAGATGCACCTTACAGTCTACGGTGGCTTTGTCTACGATGGAGGCAGAGTATATGGCGATAACAGAGGCTGTGAAGGAGGCTATTTGGCTTCGAGGACTTTTGGAGGAACTTGGTATATCGTAGCGGTCCGTCACTATTCATTATGATAGTATGAGTGCTATCTATTTGGTGAAGAATCATATTTTTCATGCGAGGACGAAGCACATTGACGTTCGTTATCACTTCCTTTGAGATGTTCTTGAAGATGTCGATGTGGAGATTGTGAAGGTCCACACGAAGGATAATCCGATGAATATGCTCACTAAGGTGGTTCCGAGTAACAATTTTGATCATTGTCGAAACTTGTTATACATTCGTGATTGTTGAGGCCGTTGACGGCCATTTGGATAAACTACGGGCGGCTTGATCCCTTGGTAGAGGAGGTACGTAGGCAACCACATTAGTGCAACCGAATTTGGTGAGACGTCGCATTGGTACTTATGTTGGTGTCGGTTCAGTTTTGGGAATACTTCGCCGAGGTG